TATTAAGAAGGATTCGATAAATCTGTTTGAATCCCTAAACTGAAAATACTTTAATGGTACCGGACCACTCAAGTCAAGAAACAATGAAGATATGACAAGGTGAGGCAATATCTTGGTTGATTCCAGGTTAAATATGTACTGTACTCTATTGCGAACAAAACATCAAAAACATATTTCATCCTGCTTAGTCGTATTAATCACTATATAGGGCTTGGTTTTTTATTCCAAAAGTTGGGGCACATCGGATGGGCACAAGTCAGGCACTGTCTGTGAAGAAATTATAAAAAGTTCTGACACATTGTCATTATGGCTTTTCGAGAAATACCCGCACGGGATCTTGGAAAGTGACGTTATATAGATTTTTTTTGACATTATACTGTTTTTTGACATTATGTAGGTTTTTCTACAAGATTTTAACTTGGCACTTAGTTGTACGTGTTGCCTGAACGTCATGAGGCTTTAGTTATCAATGTTTGGCTCTGATGTGACGTAAAATCTGCTGCCGAGATGGAATTACTGGAGGTCTAAGCTTTAAGTTGTATGTGTTAATGATAATTCCATTGGATTCTTGTCTCAAATACAGTAAATCGAGATTCAAAGGTAGATATTAGTTGCGCAGCCACTTCTTCTTATCCATTCTGGAAATTACATATAGAAATTTGCTGAATTTGAAAAATGAGAGAGATAAGAAATAATGATATTCACTGTACACTGTCGAAGTAGAAGTAATATATATGCTAACAGTAATTACACACAACGCGGGCGCGGTGATGTTTTCCCGTACTTCTCCTCAGTTTTTCGTAATTTATAACTTTGAACATAACCTCTCTTCAGAAAGCACAACATATAAATAACCCGTCATATTCAGCATATTCAGTAATGATTTTCTCAGACAGCAAATATCACTGATTTTATACACATGCAAACCAATACACATAATCATCGATGCGATCTTGCTATTCAACCAACTTTCTTCTCAGAGATATAAACTACAGGTACGGACCACTCAGCCTCACACAACATATGCAACCAATAATGCGTGTAGTTTAATTGAGTGATTCCTCCATAGATGGACGTTCACAACGATCCTGGTGAGCAAACGTGGAATGACTGCGCCCTAAAAACTACCTAGTCTGCAAGTTGACATCTTATAGGTTTTTTGACGTTTTATAGGTTTTTTACATGATACCCGTGCCGCTCCTAAGGGGTAATTCTCGAAGTTTGAAGGGTAGTTGAGAGTAAAACAAAAGTAAATACGAATTGTAGTGACAATTCTTTTCAGCTATTTGTGATGTGATTAAATTTAATAAAGGACGGATTTCCCAACTTCTAAGCCCTCGATACGTTGGATCGCTTTAAACCGAGGCGGTGCGATAAGAAAACTTGATCAGCATCACTTGGAGAGCACAAACAACCTCAAATGCTGGAGAAAACTCATCGAAATCACTTTTCCCCTAAGAATGGTGCTGCATATACAAGAAGGTTCACGCCCTAAAGTAACGAGAAAGTGGAAAATCGTACAAAAATGCGGATTAAGTTTTTTATTAATTTGGCTATGCTTGACTGATGTTTAATTTTTAAAGTAAAAAAATAACATTTTGTTATACGTTTCTACCTAAGTCATATTTCAGAGTATTCCGATTGTTGCGCACCAGAGAACAGAAGACTGCATTGCAGAAACTGAAATCTGAAGATACTTTCAAAGTAGTGTCGTGTTTTTGATATCCAGTGCACATCTATAGGTAACTTGTTAGTTCTAACATAATACTGAACACACCATGAAACAATATAATGAGATTCGTAATTATAATAATAGAATTTTAGACCTAGTAGTAAGTAATTTTGATTGTGTTGTATCTAATGATGATAATCCCCTAGTTAATGAAGGTAGGTGTCATCCATCCTTATCAATGTCGGTAAACATGTTGTACAAAAGTAGTAGGCATTTTCCAATCAATAATCATCAAAAGCGTTACAATTTCAGACGTGCAAATTTTATCTTATTATACAGGGTGTTTCAGTTTATTGTTGCATAACTTTAAGATTCGATAGAACTTTTAAAATTAATGCATAAAGTCTATATAAACATGGGTAGAAAAATGCGTGGCTTCCGAAATACAGGATGTTTAAATTTACTTTCTAAAATAGTTTTTTTTAAATATTTCGAACAATATTTGCTAACGACGCGGTCATTTGTTTTTATAATAAGCTTAATGAGGTACTGGATGCCCATGTTCCGTTGTACAAAAAATTTAAGCGCAAGTATCCTCCTTGGTATACAAGCGAAATTATTAAAATTGTAAAACAAAAAGACAAAGCCCATAGAAAGTTCAAGCAAAATAGATTTCTTACACATTATCAAGAGAGTTCAGTCAGCTTCGAGGAGTGTTTAAACATATAACTGGAGAGGCGTATGATATATATTTTCGATCAATGCAAGATCATTTGAAGGATGATCCTAAATCTTTCTGGGCCTTTATCCATAGTAAAAACAACACAACTAGAATACCTAACAATATGACCTACAATGATGAGTCCATTAACGATCCCCAAGGTATAGTTGATGCTTTTGCCGATTGTTTCTCTAGTGTTTACTCGTTACCGGATAATACTGATGCCAATCATAGCTTAAATTTCGATCATAATGCTGCAATAGATATTAGTTGTGAACAAATTACGGTCGATGAAATTTTTGCTGCTAATCGGAAGCTAAAAGACAAGCTAACTGCAGGACCTGACCAAATTCCATCATTCTTTGTCAAGGATTGTAGTAGAATATTGGTATCTTCATTGTAGATTCTGTTTAACTCTCTTTTCCCAGATAAATGAAAAGCTGCAAAGGTGTGCCCAATTCCAAAAACAAAGAATTATAACTTAGTTTCTGATTATAGAGCAGTGGCAATCTTAAACAATTTTGCGAAACTCTTGGAGATCATATTGTATGACCGAATACAACTGTCCGTGAAAGACCATATTTCGATCCATCAACATGGTTTTGTGAGGCAACGCTCAACTTTAACCAATCTAATGGAGTTCAGTCAATACTTATGCCAAAGATTGGATAACAGAGGCCAGATTGACGTGGTATACACGGATTTTTCCAAAGCCTTTGATAAGGTTAACTATAATACGAGTATATTGATTAGTAAGCTACGATATTTAGGTTTAAATAGTACTTATATTGCGATTTTGACTTCTTACCTTTCTGAAAGAAAACACTAGGTTTTCTACAATGGATACTATTCGCATGTTTACATTTCTACCAGCGGTGTTCCTCAAGGCTCTAACTTAGGACTCCTACTGTTCATTCTTTTTGTCAATGATTTATGTGTCTCTTTGGACTGTCTGAAGTTGATGTTTGCTGACGATTTAATGTTTTTCTCTACTATTTCCTCGACAGCGGATTGTGTTGTGTTGCAAGAACAAATCAACATTGTACTGAGATGGTGTGAAAATAACAACCTTTTTCTAAATATTTCTAAATGTAAAGTAGTCACTTTTTCTAGACAGACTAATCCTATATTTTACAACAACACAATGGAGGATTCTGTCCTGGAGCGTTGCGAGACTGTGAGAGATTTAGGTGTCTACTTTGACGGGGAACTGACCTTCAATTATCATATAAACCAAATAATTTCTAGTGCATCGAAAACGTATTGCTTCATAACCAGAAACTGTAGGAACTTCGACAATATCTGTACATTGAGATCTTTATTTTTCAGCCTGATAAGGTCAAAACTTGAATATGGATCTCTTTTATGGAGCCCTATTTATAAACAATATGTTGATGCTGTTGATAAAATTCAGAAAAAATTTTTGAAGTTTCTCAGTTTCAAAACTGATGGAGTATACCCTGCAAGAGGTTCCGATTACAAAGACCTTTTACAAAAGTTTTTGTTTCAATCTTTAGAGCAGCGACGGAATCAATTTTCTGTACTGATTTTATATAAATTGTTGCCTGGTCAAGTAGACTGTCCCCAAATTATCTCGCAGTTGCAATTTCTGGTGCCGCGGTTAGCTTCACGAGCTAGTGCTCCTTTTTTATGTCAAAGAGCACAGACTAACTTACTATCAAAAGCACCAGTTAATATGATGAGTAACAATACCAATAAAATTGCTAACGACTGTAACATTTTTGGTTAAGTTAAGACTTACCATTTTGTATATATATATACATATACTTAATACCTTTAAGGTAACTTCTATTTTTTATAAATTGCTCTGTTATTGACGATAAGCTGTTGGGCAATAAAGGCTTATTATTATTATTATTTAGTTACATATAAGTTCCATATAAGTCCCCGCTTTTTTCCAAAAAAGCTCAACTTCTCAGCCCTATTAATATATTTTAGTAACAATTTTCAAATCGGATTCAAGATATACATGTATGTATAGTGGAGCTACCACATGACTAAATTGAAAAAAATATGTAACTTTCCATGTCCCATTTTCCAAGGCGCAGATAATACAAATATGATGTTTCAAATTCATAGGCACTTATAATTTCAAGCCTTTATAAAGGATTCAAACATTCCGTAACTTCTAAGTCGCATTTTATAAGTTGCAGAGAACACAATAAAATGAATATGATACATGAGCACATCATTCTTCAACCAAGCTTAACGAAAAATCATAGGCATGTTTACTTTAAGACCGCTGAAACATACATATATTTAGCACAAGAAATATGTGACAGTTTCGAACTATTATGAGATGTAAAACACAACACGTTAAAAAGTATTGCTTCAAAACGTACAGCCTTTATATCAATTTCGATCTGCCTATTTCCCAAACCTATTAAGATATTTTGGTAACAATTTATATAATATTTATAGTGGAGCTTCCTTACGAAAAAATTTGTAAAGGTAACAAAATTTCAAATGAATGATACAGAATTACTGTATATGATTTTTTCCTGAGCACCTCATTGACTGTTAAAAATTCCCTAAAAACACAGCCACTTTAAAAATAATGAAAAACACCGCGCCATCTACACTTACCGCTGCTTAAAGCTGAGACCTCCCCTTGCTGCACATTATGACTACTCATGGCACTATACACCAGCCTGAAGCAGCTGCGCGTATGTTTTACGTCTGTGATCTCACACCAAGCAATCGTGTCGATCGGATGACTAACCGCTTTCTGCTTGAACGGCAACAACTTGGAACTCTTCTGCGGCACGGGGTCGATCTCGATTCGTTCACCGCTCACACCGATACTCACTTCTACCTTCGGTTTCACTTTGCTTAGCATGTGAGCACGGAAGGATTTGTACAGTGGCGCCTCCATCAACTTGTTGTGCTCTTCCACCTGTTAAATGACAGTTTTAGTAGTTTCTACTTTTTAATAGTCTAATGCTCTAGTATACAGGGTGTTCCGTACACCAAATCTTTAATATCACTCATCTCAGGCACTGTTGAACCGATTTTGTTGAAATTTTGCACGATAACACAGTTGCCTATACCCGATTTCACGAGTATCCATCACGATTTGACGTCGAGGTGAAGAGCCGATCAGCAAGTGATATTTTCGTCTTAGTCTGCAACGTTGGCAATATTGAATCGAGTCTAAATCTACTAAGACTAGTTTTTAGCGTTTTGTTTTTTGTATGCTAATGAACTTTTCTAAATAAAAGAGCTTTTAGTAAGTACAAAATGAATGTGTAGCGAACAAAAATCTAAAACAAAATATGGCTCCGTCTACCTGGCATTGACGGATCCGTCAGAATAATGTGTTCTTTGCCGATATGGGATAACGGGCTCAGAATAGCATTTACCCATGACTTGCTCTGTGGCTATTTAAGCACTTGGCTACCTAGAGGCCGAAGATACGCCAAATAATTGGCGTAGCGAATTGGCGTAGCGGTAGCATAAGTTGGTCACAGATTAAACGTGAACCATGGGATGGGAGTCAAACAAGTTGATGTTCCGTCTCCATGAAATCTGTTTTGTTCAATTTTTCTTTTGCTCAGCCTAATTATATACCCTATTTTACAAGTATTCATCACGCTTTGATGTCTACTAAGGTGAACAGCTGATCAGCAAGTGACATTTTTGTGTTGGTCTGCAACATTGACAATAATGGATCGGGTATAAATCTAGTAAAACTTGTTTGTGCGGTTTTGTTTTTTGTTTGCAAATGAACCCTTCTAAATAAAAGAGCTGTTAGCAAGTACAAAATAGATCTGTCGCCTACAAAAAAACAAAACAAAATATGGCTCTGTCTCCCTGGCGTTGACGGATCCGTCAGAATTATGTGTCCTGTGCCGATATGGGGAATTTTGAAGTATTAATAGATAACCAGCTGTCATTGTACCATGATGGCTACTCGTGGCGTTGACGAATCCATCAGAATTATGTGTCCTGTGCCGATATGGAGAATTTTGAAGCATTACTAGATAACCAGCTGTCATTGTACCGTGATGGATACTCGTGAAATAGGGTATAAGAGTAACGTATAACTAGTCGGGCGGATAAAAAATCTAGGGCCAACTGGGTTCTTTTAATTTTTTTGTATTCCATCAAAATAAACACCTTTTGGCTGCCTATTGAAATATTTTACTATGTACTAAAAATCCAATAAATGGTGCCAAATAATGAGCACAATAGATTGATTATACCTCTTTTGGTATTTTAGTTGTAAATGTTTGTTTATATCTTATTGTTAGCCGTTATTACTGAACTCGAAATTTCAAATGTTATAAACTTGGTTACATCAACATTTGACAAATTAATGCTAAAAATTGAGCTAAAGATGTTTTGAGAACTCAAAATTCCAAAATCGGATTCAGTTTTTTTTATTTCATTGTATTTTATACTCTGAATTTATCATTTCACAAAAAAAGAGCAGTACATGATATAAATGAAAACGAAAATTGATTTTACGTACCATATATAGTTTTTTTGGTAATTTTTTTTAATAAAAATCGACCAACCAATTTTATACATAAGTCTTGCTTTAAATGGAAATGGCTAAATTAAATAAAAAATTATGGCTAAAATATAGAGAACCTCATATACAGGACCCGACTCACCCCAACCCTACATTAGATTCAGTTACATGATGGTACACCACACAATAAAATGTCAAGTCCGGACCTGCTTACTTCGTTTTTGTGGAATTTTAACTTAATTTCAAGTTGGTCTGGAAGGTGAAATTTAGTGGAATTGCATATGAAATGCTGTTTCCCTTTTTAGCAGAACTCATGTTGTTATAGAATAATGAATACAAAAAAAGTGAATAGGAAGCATAAAATTAATGTAGCCTTATATTTATATAATTTATTGTTCTTTTTGTAGACGAAAAAATACTAAATTCAGAGTACAAACATGCAGGATGTTACACTTAATAAAATGAAAAGAAATAAAAAACTGTATCCAGCCTTGGAGTTTTGAGTTCTCAAAACATCTGTAATTTAAGTCAAAGTTTTGTGTGATATAAAAACTGATACAAATAAGATATTTGAATAAATAAATATGTTTAACTTAAAAATCAAAAGAAGCGCAATCAATATATTTTGCTTATTAATTAGCATCATTAATTGTTTTTTACATAGTCAAACATTTCAATATTAAATGATGATTTTGATAAAATACAAAAAGGTTTAAAAAAGTCAGATCCCGGACTTCCAGTTTTACGTTACTCCTTGAATACTATACACAATAGTGTCTAGGATACATATACAGGGTGACTTTGAAGTTGAGTCATTAATTTTCAGATAATGATTGTAGAAGGAAGATAAACCAAAATATGTGTGTAAAAATAAAAAAAAATGTTACCTTGTTTTATAAAGTATCCTCCCGACAAGTATTTCAGTGCGGACCTGTATTTCATCGTGCGGTCTTGGAGCACCGGCATGCCCTTCCCTGTGAGGTCTTAAGTCACCTGATTCACGAGCCATTTGTACTACATTAACAAAGGCACGAGGGGTTGGTTGCACTAGATTAAGAATAAGAATCATGTCCACAAGTTCTGCATTTTCGTAAACATGTGCCATTTTTTATTTCGTTTGAGCCACGCAACACAACTATTGACTCACGCGTTACCGACTGACACACTGACTGAATACAACTGAATAATAATTGTAGCAAAAACATCGTTTCAAATTCTTTCGCTTTTTTGTTTCCGATGCGATGAACCGATAAGGCGGATTATATCCGTTGTTGCCAAACACGAGCACATAATATTATTATTGAGACAGGGCGGTACTCAAACTTCTAAAGGGCTATAACTTTGTTACTTTAATTTTACCAGAAAAATGTTAAAGGAAAAAACATTTCTTTTGATCAGATCTACTCACTGTTAAAATAAATGACTCAACTTCGAAGTCACCCTGTATATTTATTATGATTTGGAATGTTTAGATAAATCGCCCTGTATATCCGTAAATACCGAATTTGTAACATTTTTATTTTCAAATATAAAAAGATCTCAGTCCATAGTACCTATAATTTCACTATGTTCATTTGAAATGGGACACTCTGCAGAAGTAAACAGTCATCCATATTGTCCTAGGACCAGTAAGGATTATGTGCGACATGCATCTGAAGCATATACGAGTGTACCCTAGCTCACAAGTACCCATCAGGCTTTGACGTCTACTGAGGTGAACAGCTGATCAGCTAGTGACATTTTTGTGTTAGTGTGCAACGTTGGCAACAATGAATCGAGTGTAAATCTAATGAAACTTGATTGTAGCGTTTTGTTTTTTGTATGCAAATGAACTCTTCTAAATGAAAGAGCTTTTAGCAAGTATAAAATGAATATTTAGCATACAAAAAAAAACAAAACCAAATATGGCTGTCTGCCTGGTACTGAGGAATCCGTCAGAATTTTGGGTCCTTTGCCGACATGGGGTATTTTCAAATATTACTAGATGCTCAGCTGTCATTCTACCGTAATGGATACTCGTGAAATGGACTATAGTAATTTGTCGTTTTCTAACTACAATGGGGTCTTAACTACTGAATTAAGATTTTTCAGCATGTGACTCACAGGGAACAAATATTTTTGATAGGAGATCAAAAATTTGTGTTCCGATATAATCTTTGAGATGTTTGTTTCAATTGATCAATCATAATAAAAGTGCCAACTTCCAAAAAGTCGACAAACTTTGTACTTCAAGTGTATTTTTTGAAAAAAACTCCGTTTTCAGCAAAAATTCTGTTACTGCCCAAGTCCAATTTTTCAAGTTGCAGATAATATAAATGATGCTTATGATTCATGAGCATATAATTTTATTGATTTTTCAACTGAGCTTCATTAAAAAGTAAATTGATTATTTACTCGTTGTTTGTTATAGAATAAGCACTGTGCAACTTTATTTGTCTTCTAAGAATTTATTAAGCAGACTTTTGTACATCAACATTAAGACACCGTAATTTTCAATAAAATGCTCAGTAATGGTGTCATATCAATCTCTTGTATCAAGTTTGATCCACGTTTCGCGTAGGTCACAAACCCTCATTGATTAATGGAATTTGCGTCAACTTTCAGATCCGGACACAAATGAAGAATAGCTGGACGAAGTAATATATGAAGCATCTTACACAAACAGTATAATTTTTCTCTAGTTTGAGAGACACTTTCTTTTATCAAATTCATTAGACCTATTACTTCAAGGATATCTTCTTATTGGTCAAATTTGTGCCAAAGGTTCAAATTTGGATTCCTGCTGGTCAATATTAAAATCGAAAGCACGCTGATTGAAAATTAATAATAATTGAGGTTTTTCAAATATAGTATGAGAAATGGCTGATGGTTTCAGACTATTATGAGGTGTAAAAATAACACATGTTAAAAAAGTATCGCTTTAAAACTTACTGCCTGTATATCATTTTCCATCTGCCTATTCTCATCGGCTTTTGACTTATCTGACAACGTTCTTGTTCTATTACTCTCTAGAATGGACACAGACTGGTAGTCTTCTGGAAAATTTACTGTCTTAGCAACATCTTTGTGTTCTACAAGGCCTAATGTGCTGAATCCAAATTTTGAAACTGGTTCTTTGGGGTCCAAGCAGGGAAAGTCTCTATCTACTTCACCATCTTCCTCTGTGATGTATAGGCCATATTGTGATACTGATTTTAGGTTAATGCCTGAAGCTTCTTGAGTTGAACTTAAAAAGAAAGAATATCAACTGGGTTGAATAGTTTAACGGCTAATATATTTTCACTATTGAAGTACAGAACTCTTTCTAGACTGTGTTACATAGTCTTTATGCAATGTAATGGTTTTTACTTACTAAACATACTTATAGGGTCTTATATTATACATAAAGTAGATAGGTTTATATTATTTACAGTATTCTAGTACACAACTAAAATTAAAAGAAATAACAATAATCGTAAGTAGTTAGTCAAATGTTGAAGTTAAAAAGTCTGCCTTATGTTAGGTATAAAAATAAACGATCCAAGTTGCACATTCGTCTCTCATTTTCTGCCCTCCAAATATACCGAAGTGCAACGTCGCATTAGCGCCTAAGGTGGTTTAATAAGCATTTAGGTAGTGGCGAAATGAAATGGACTATAGAAGAGTAGCGTCACTCCGACGTTAAAACAGTTTTTGGCGGGGTGTCTGAAATTATACTGTCCTACATGCAGTTTAACTGAGGTGTCTGTGATATGGCAGGTACTGAGGAGGAAGGTAAACATCCAGGTAATGCAGGTCACCTGCAGGTAGTTGACAGCAGAACATAATCAGGAGTGTTTAACGTGTAGCCAAACTAGCAGGAAGTGGGGTGCTAATATTTCGATGTTCAGCTAATGATGTAAAGGTGAGTATTGTTATTAACATATTTGGAATTTGAGACATCGTCGCGTAAGTTGTAACACCATGAAACTCAAAACAGTAACTTATGTATTTGCTTGAAAAAGCCACCGAGATTGCCGGAACGTCATCAGTAGGCACTATTAGCATGGATGACTATAAGATCATTCGATACCGAATCCAAAAAGTTATTAGTTTTAAGTTACACCGTGCTGAAACTCTTTTTATTGAACAACTAAATTTTTGCGATTCATCAGCGGGTAGTACCAAAAAGAAGAGAATACGATAGAAATTTGTCATTTAGTTTTACATCCTACGTCAATGAGCAATGGCGAACATTTTCAAAGTACTTTGAGTTTTATATTTTTATGACGTTTCATGGTATACCCAAAAAGTATGGATTCCTTGCTGCAACACCGGCTGTAGATTGTTCAAGTATGTTGCGAGAAAATAGATGTCATGTTACATTTTTTATTTAATGTTATACTCTTCAGTCTACATCATTCATGTTCACCGAAAAATAAATACGAACATTTAAAAAACAAAGTGATTGTTTTCATCTACACTGAAAAAGCTTCTAGGATGTAAGCACAACGATTCTAGAATCTGCTTTCTTTTCTGGTTACTAACTTAAGCGCCCTTACACCCATTTTCAAACCGGGTACCGTACAGTAATCCATTCCAAGCTCTGTTAGAATCAGTATAGCAGTTACTGAGATTGCATGCTGCCAAGAAAACCAAAACGACAGGTGGGTTATCGCCGATGAGTGGAACGCTAAAGCACCTATTTTCGAGCCTATTTTCCAGATAATGCTATCTATCATATAGCGTTTAGACAGTACAAATAATAATATAGATTACTCGGCTTAAACACTGTTACTATATGACATACGTGTATACTCTGCAGAAATCAATTAAAAGTAGAGGACCCATTCAGATGAAACAGCCGCCGTAACCGTTCTTCTCTTTATTGAAGTATATCTCGTTAGCTTCCAGGCAGTAAATCATAAACAAAAAAAAAGCCTCTTGTATAGCCGTGTGTGTGTTGGTGTATCTATCCAGTTGAAGGGTGTATGTAAAGCCGGACGTACACGCTAATAATATGCATAGCAGCCTTGTTTACTAGCTATTATGGATATTCAGATTCATGATTCCGCCACTGCATGATCTGTATGAATATTTTGGTGAACAAATCATAATCAACTGTCCCTCTGTGTCTCTACCCACACTCCGCCGATACACGACGCGAATCCATACCGAAAATCTCTCAGCATTTGAAAAGCTTCATTCCAGCCAGGGTCTTTGATTTCTTACTTTTTGTCTTTCACCCATAAGCAATTCGTCTATAAAATGCCCAGGTTGATGATTCCTTTATTACCAACGGCAGATTTGAGGGTGAAAGAAGTTGCGGCGGTTTTTAATACAATGATATATCATCTTTCCTATTTTTAAATCGTCATAACACAAGAGATGAAAATTTGAAACACACACACTCCTTAAAGTGTTTGGAAGGGTACTCCATGTAATTTCTCTAAGAATACTGGTTACTTCGATCAAAACTCTTATTGTTATTGTAATCTGTTTATCGCATGTCCTTTTGGTATACATTGGCGTGTATGTTTAGCTTTTGCTTGGAGTGATACACCAGACAGCCCTAGCACTATCAGGTAGTTATCGAATACTCAGACAACCGCCAAAGGAGATGAAAGAAATAAACCGGCAATAAACTATACTCGAAAAAAGAGGGACGCATTACATACGGACATGTCGCAGGTCGAAGTGTGTCTGCTCCCCTGATCACTCATTGCTGACTGTCTGTTTAATAACTGGTCAGATCCCAAACAGAGGTTGAGAGATGAATATTTCTACGGTAGGTCAAATATTTGGTATTCAATAGACAAGCCAAAAAGCTAGGTTGCACAAACATTAAATTATAATCCACCAATTCATTGTTATAATAAGGTAGTGGTTCATAAAAAATGCATTTTCTTTCTTTTCCAACGCGAGTGCTTTCCAAAAGACTCAAACAACAACTGATTAATATCTATCCACTAAATGTAAGGCTTAAATAGAAAAATGCGACTTTTTTGTAGCTACTGTCAATTTCTTTGTGAGCCAAAAACACAAAATACAGTGCCTTTGAGGTGCCGCGCCGCCGTCTGCATAAGCGTACCCGCTGGTTGTTCCATTGCCACATTCATAAGAAAAAAATACATGTATTACTCTTAATACCTAAAATTTAAAAGATTATTTTGTTTCTCGAATGTCTGGTATTTTTTTACGAATAAACACGATAATTTCTTTGATTAATGCATTAATATGAAAATTGAATCACGGAGGACTTATTCATTTCCTATTTACTTCGTCGCCACCGCTGGATCAGTGCAATCTCAAAGATATTAGAGAAGCCTGAAACTCTTTGAACTAGGCGCACAGACCCTACGCCTCTGATCCTGTTCTGGTATGGGCACACTGGGGTATTCGTGGGAGGGTATTGGGGCTAATCGGAGTCTCCCCTCCCCAAGCGCAACAGCTCATTAAGCTTCTCCTACATATTATAGCATGTCATACTTTCTGTGAAGTGTAGCTCCCTGGACTAAGCGAGTCCGTCCCCCCTGCTCTTGAATTTTCAATCTCTAAGACATCAACCACGTGTCAAACTTCCTTCATCGAACTAAACTAGGCAGTCCCAGATGAATAAAATTAACAAATCATAACTGTTTGTGTTAGCATTGGGAGGATTTCTGTAAAAGCAAAAATTCTATATACTCGGATTTCTGCTTAAAGTGGCTTAACCTACTAGTCTACAAAGGAAGAAGCATGTAGACCAGAATGTAGTTTTCTATAGTCACAGAAAGTAGTTAAACTAGATACTGGTGAAATACTTTTCATAGCTAATGAAATTAGCTGCAAGAAGGATAAATAACCAGCATTAATTTCGAAATGTAAATGTTTTTTGTATATACATTTTAGATGAGAAATGTTCATTTTCCATATATAACTATGTTCAGTAGCCTAGCACTTACAGCTTGTCTATTCAATACCAACCATCAGACCTACCATATCAGAATTAATCCAAACAACGTGCTTCTTCCTGAATATTGAAATTTGAAAGAAATATTTTGCTTTTCAAAAGCCTGGAGATATTTTACAAATAAAGATGTCATCTGCTCTGAAAATCATTACCTTCCAGTATCAATAGGGGTTTTTTGACTCTCTTCTGGGCTAATCCAATGTTGCAATTAGGTATATTTAGAGGGCAGAAAATGAAAGAGGTATGTGCAACTTGGATCGCTTATCTTGTTACTTACCTAAATTTTAGAAGAATCAGTCCAATCAAATCTTGTATTTTTGCATTTGCTACACAGCTAATGTGCATTGGGTAATTCCTTTGATGTTGTGGCAACATTGTTATGTACATCTTGTACTTTTTGACAGGAACGTTCACTTGACCACTGCCATCAAACTTTGCATACTCAATGTATGGATTTCTTGGGACATTCAAGCAATTCTTCATTAGAGCACTTAATTTTGAAGTATGCTCTTTCTTCGGTTTCACTTCTTTTTTAACAAACATGTTAGAGCACTCTTCATCTGGTGCTAAAAAAACACATAATTCTCTAGCTTAACTAAACCAGCCTTTTTTGCTTCTCTGTCCAAATAGACACTAGGTTTAGGTTGTAAATGCTGGACATGAGATTAAAAATCCGGGCAAATGGGTTAGTTGCAGAATATTGTTGATATTATCTGGGTTTCAACAGGTATAAACACCTTCTTAACCCTATATCTGGTACTGTAGCGTGTAGGCAACATCATCTTTAAACCTCAATTTCTCGTCCTCCCTGCTCTATCGGTCTGATTGGTCAGTGTTGCGCGTAAGCTACATTATTCATTAACGGAAATAATATTATGAGCGACCTCTGTTTTTAAAAAGTCGAGTCAAAATTTTCAATATGGTTGCCGCGTAACAGGTGTTTGGTGCACGTATGAATCTGTAGTTGGGATTTTAGTTGCAATTGGTAAGTAATCATTTGTTTTTATGTTCTATTAGCCTTGGTTGGTATGAAAGAAGGTTGCGTTTTTATGTTCATGATTATTTTTAAGCGATAGATCAGAAAATACGTAGGATAATGATTTTGTTTAGTATGTATCTCTCAAGCAACATTGCCAGAATAATTACGTTTTCTTTTTCAGTCTTCTGATCTGGATAATTTTCCAACCACAAGCACTACATGTTTTTTCGGCAAAAAGAAGGCACCGACCGTAATTCACACAGATCCGCATATTTCCGATGTCTCAGACGACGATTTCAGTGACGGAGAAAATATTTCCCAAACAAATGAGCTTAACAATGAAGAAGAAGTGCCTTCAGGACTTGATATGCTGGTTCCAGAAAGTAATTCTGAATTCGAAGTGACGATGAAACTGAGCCGCCACCACCACAAAGACAAAAAACTGAATCATATTCTTGGATTGAAGATGACATAGTTTCTGCTAACATACTTTCACCAGACTTTGCTGAACCTGACAACATTGCAGCTCCCATTGAATATTTCACAAAGTTTTTTTCATTTGATCTAATGGATAAAATAGTCTATCAGACAAATCTTTATAGTACTCAGCAACTTGGGCAATGTATTGATACAAATCCGTCAGAAATAACGGATTTTCTATCTATACTCTTGATTATGGGTGTAATAAAACTTCCTGCCACAGAAGAATTTGGGACAGCTAGTACAAGAGTAGATCACGTGGAAAAAAATAATGCCTCTGAAGAGGTTTCAGAAACTAAGACGGTTTATCCATTTCAATGATAATACTAAAATAACAGACCAGACAAAGGATCGATTTTCAAAATTAGACCCTTATTTGGAATTGTACGCATGAACTGTTAACTCCAGTTTGAAAATCAATACTCAATTGATGAAACAATGGTGTCTTACAAAGGCACATATGCGGGCAACTTGGGGCAGTATATCCAAAATAAACCCCACAAATGGGGATTTAAATTTTTTATTCATGCTGGGGTTTCTGGTTATATTGCCGACTTTATACCCTATCAGGGAGCTGCGACATTTGTAGGTGTAGGTGCTAGCGCCGTCATTTAAGCGAACCGAAAAATACTGTTATATTCTGTGACAATTGGTTTTCAAGTGTAAAATTATTTATTTATCTGAAAGACCGATTCGGGATACTTAGTTTAGGAACTATAAGGTCTAACAGAATAGCTGGATATCAACTTGAAACCGATAAAGTGCTTCAAAAAAGGGGAAGAGGTTCCTACATTTATAAAGCAGATACAGACAAAGGTATAATAGTAGTAAAATGGGCTGACAATAAATGTGTTCTATTAGCCTAATTCCCGTAAAATCGAAAGTGTAAAAGAAAAAAATTGCCATCCCTTGTCCATCCGTTATAACGCAATACAATAAGCACATGGGCAGTGTCGATAAGGCCAATTCATTACTTGGTCCGTATCGCAGTCCAAGCAGATCGAAAAGATGGTACTTCCCAATTTTCACATGGGTTCTTGATATGTCAGTGATCAACCGCTGGCTTCTGTATGGAAAGGACTGCAACACAGCACGTGTAACGTCAAAACTGCTAAAGGAGTTCCATATGGAATTAGCCAAATCATTGGCCAACGCAGGAAAACAAAGTTCTCGTGGCAGACCATCCATTTCCTCGACTAATAAAACCTCTGCGCAAATAATATCAAATCCTATACTGCCAAGACCTGATATCACCACCTAAAAAGATGGCATAGGTCATTGGCCAACTTATGGCACAAAAGGTAGATGCAGGCACTGTGCCAATGGATTTACAACAATCTTTTGTACCAAGTGCAATCTTAGGCTTTGTTTCACCCCAAATAAGAATTGTTTCTACCTTTTCCATTCCAATTAGATTTAGCTGTTTCATCACAATGTATTTTGTGAAACTAGAAATATATATTTTTTTTATTTCTTGATATTCGTTTTATAAATAAATGATTTGTTGTATTTCCATATAAACCAGTGCAATTAGGTTTACCTTTATCGGTCAATGTTGCTTGCAAGTAACAATAGAACCTATACTTTATCTCGCAATGTTGCTTGCAAGCAACTAATTCTAAAGTCATTTTCCCAGGTTATTTTTCAACTTTTACAATATCTTAAGTCATCTATAATAGTCCAGTTAAATAGCCGAAACTGAGACAAAAGTGATAACATAGCCACAAAGTTATTTCCGCTGGCGAAATGGTGTAATAAAGGATTGCGAATATTGTTGTATGAATTTGGTTTTCCGGAAACCAGCCGTTTTTTGTAAAACTGCGAAAAACCTCTTTTTCGCTGAAATAGCTGAGGATATCTGGGATGTTTTTACATGTAAATTTTTCTAATTGTTGGGCCATCAAAAAAGGTGTCTGCAAATTTTTTGCTAAATTGCTTAGTTTTCGCGCTACAGCTTGCTGATTGTTTGTGGGCGAGGGATTTGCGGGGAAAGGGACGCGCGTACACATGTCACCAGCCGCCGCACCATTGATGCGGAAGGATCCTCTTTTATTTCGACGTCCTCAGTGTCTCTCTCTCAGTGATAGGCCAGTCGATTTCGAATAATAAGCTCGTTTGTAGTTGTGGCGTTCACCGACTTATGCATATTAATGAATTTTTAAGATGTCTGCGTTTAGAGTACAAGATGCAGCAATTTTTCTTCAGCCGCTTACCGATTGACTGGATAAGTGAGGTATAATATTTTCATTTAGAATTGGAACAAAGATAAAAAACCTACAGCTGCAAAAAAGGTGTGAACGTGTATATAAATGAGTGGCAATGATAAGAATACATTACAGGTTGTAGAAGCCCAATGAGTCATCAAAAGACTCCCTTTCGAGGCTCCACGTTATTTTCATAGTTATCCTCGCAAATCAGTTTGATCACCGGTAGTTGTTAATCTACGATCATGATAAGAGATTTAGCAGTTCTTGAGCCGCGTTTATACGTTGGTCTGACCTACGCCAACGCAAATATGTAAAGAATAGACAATGGCCGATGGTGATGATTGACGATATCTTCTCTGCACACTCGCTGTGGAAAAACATTACTCCATTATATTTTAATCGAGATAAGAAATTATGTACAAACCATTAATTGGGAGTTGCATCAATTTTTTATATTTTCTATTTTGATAGAGTATAACAAATTATTTTTGCGTTCAAATATGTTTGTTTTACATTTGTTACTTTACATTTCACACATATAGTTGTACAAAAACTCTCACTTGAGCCAATGAAACCTACAATAGCATGTAAGAGGAATTGAATTGAAAGTATATGCAGTTCAATGTTATATCCACCCCAATCTGTTACAAGTAGAATAAATCATTGAAGGTCAAATTCATTAAAGTCCTTCGTTAATTTCCTCGTCATCGGTCGTTGCATCGTGGCTGCTTGATGAGGTCTCATCATCTTCGGTTAAGTCATCATTATCGGGTTCTACGGTAGTTTGTCCACCGTCCTCCTCACATGCATCTGTAGTGGTCGGAGTTTCGCTATTATGGTGTTCTGTAGCAGTCCATCTCTTTGAGTTGTTGCACGATTTTCCGCGGCATACTTTGCAAGCAGGGTTGAACTTTAGACCGGCTTTTCGGCAGTTACATCGCTTCGATTTGCAGGGCCCTTGGCATCCACAAGAAACCTGAAAAAAGGTTATCATAAGAATTATTATAATCTAAATATCAGTTGTCTTGTAAGGGAAATCAATGACAGGCCTTTTATAGTGCTCCATAGATCAGTCTAAAAATTTGTTATTTTGACTTGAAACTGGATCTCTCATTGTTCAAAAATTATTTTAATTCCGGTCAGACAGTACATGAGATCAAAAGTGTAGTAAAAATTAGTTGTAGCAAGTTGTATTTATTGCTTCAAATTGAATACATTTCACACATATGTACCTCTTGTAACAGTTCTTTTGGTGCGGGATCTGCTTCAGACATGATCGGAATGAGAATATTACCCTGTCTTGTCCATTCCCACAAGCAGGGATCTAATCTATGCTGAAGCCACACCTGGATTTGATAGTACACTCGTTTACAGTGCTGAAGCAAGGCAGGAGATGTTGGTGGGAGACACTCTAGGGGCGTTTCCTTTTTTGCCTTTGCTAAGTTTGTAGAAAACAAATTGTATCTGAAAGTCCCGAGAGAAGAAGACTGTTCTTTGTCTTTGTATAGTGCGAGAGTAATCGTCTCAGCACATTGCAGTAATTCGTCTTCCAAGCAGTCCGGTTCGTAAAACTTCAGCGCCAGTGGTCTAATGCTGTCGTTCTGCAGCAGCAACTTTACCAGCTTCATCTTCCCTTTCCCATAAAAGCAGCTAGTAGTGTCGCAGCCCGCAAAAGCATGAGCAAAAAGTAGAAATGGTTGCAAATGTTTGTGATCTCGAGTATCGTACAATTGGTTCGCTGAACATGTACAACGGCAAGTCGTAAGTTAAGATAGTGGTTTTTTGACCACACTTACGCGTTTCGCTCTTTGCATGCATAATTGATGTATAAATGGTTGTTAGACTAGATGGAACTTCGTTAATGAATTGTTGGCATTGCACCCCGACCTTTGGAAAGTTTCATTTTCCGAACATATCTCCATGAAACCTCGCCATGCTGGTACATTCTCAGGATCAACGTATTTAGCCCACAAATAAGTTGAGTAAATAGGGGGGAATAGAGGCATGTCGACCATGGTCAGTAAATCTGTATCGATGAATTCTATAAGTTTCAAGCCCTCTTTTGGCGGCTCGACGTAAGAGAACATTGGAGTTTGTTCTTGCTTTGCAAGGATATTTGCGGAAGGCATCTCAGTAAGTTTTTCGACACTTCCACATTGTGTGATTTCGTGCTCCGGAGTGTAAACCTGTATTCCGCCTAAACAATGGAAAGTCTCCTGTCCGTCCAGGGTCCTGACGTTGTGGTCAGTATTATCAAATACAAATTGTACGAAAGGTTTTTCGATTATCAATCTGGGTGGATTCACTATTGTTGTAGCCTCATACAGTTCAATATTGTAGTAAGAAGTGCAAACGCCTAATACATGCAGAAGATTTATGATGTACTTGGAACCTGTTTTTCTCAGAATCAATGCCCCAATCGACAAGTGGAGAGTGGACAAAAACGTACGTGGCTGAATGAATGAAAGTATGCATTGAGATATCATGTCTCGCTTCACAGACTTTGCTTTTTTATCATCTTCTTCATCATCGATAAGGAGAAAGTGCTCAATAAAGAAAGAAAAGTGGGGTGGATAATTGGAGGAAAGATCTCTCACAAATTGATTGGACGGTGGGTACTTATCGCTTACAAATTGCTTGCTACGAATCTCTCTGTGCATTATATTTGAGGCCTGAAGCAAAATAACTTGTATGTGCCCTTCTGTGAAAGTTGATGGGTCTGCTGACACATTAAAAACATGATGACTTTTGAAGCATACACATATATCTTTTCCCCCCATTATACTGCACTCAACTTCCTCACCGTAACGTTTTTTAATGTGATCTGCTACAGTCCTTCTATCTATAGAGTGATCATTGATAAGTTCTACTAACTTCGACAAATAATGAATAACATGTTTGTCCTCTTCAAGAACTGGCCACACAGGTTCTAACAATGAATCGATTCTAGACCAGTTTAGATCTTCGATATTTTTTTTTAAACCATACGCATTGAAATGAGACATGCATGTCCGGTGGTATCTGCCATGTACGCGAATTAAGCAAGAAATGTTCTCTAATCTTTCAACAACGCTAATTCCCAAAGTCATTTTTTTCCTTTCCCATTGCAATCAAGTTATGACGCGTCTCTTTTTGTGTAACTGTACAGATTTTTGTTTTCGCATCTTTTAGTATACTCAAACCACAAATGAAGCAATTATCCGCGTAATGGAAATCAGGAACCTCATCTCTTGCAGCTACGAAATTGTTATCTGGTGCATTCAACGCAAAATGCTGAGTATACGTTCCACGGACCGAGTATGAAAGTCTACACATCTCATGGCAGTCCAGTTTTTCCTTTTTTCCCAATCCAACCATTTTTTGTCTTCCACGCGTTTGCTCTGTGTGATCAGTGTACTAATTCCCTTCTTCCCCACGATCCTGCAATTGCCGCGCGCCAACGGATAACTGTAAATGGCGCAGTTACTATTTTGATGCATTTTATTCCTATTGAATAACAGAAACAATTTCAGTGAGAATCGGTATCCAGTAAGTGTAATGCAATTTTCGATCCAGTCAGTCTAATTTGTCTGATTTTTGTTATTAATATCAGAACATAGTGCTAATGGAATTCCAAGACATGCTGAATTTTGGACAACACATACTGAATTTGGACTGCACTACTTATTATTAAAAAATACGATACTAACATTGGAAAATGAAAACAAATTTCGTTAAAAAATCCATGGCGGATAACTTTTCGAATTTTAGGTTGGCTTTGTCCTTAATTCCTTGTCTCCAATGAAATTACGGAAAAAATATTTAACTTCAATTCTAAAATATACACATACTTACCTCACTTATCCAGTCAATCGACAAGCAATTGAAGAGAAATTACTCCACATACTTAAACGCATAAATTTCGAAAATTAGTTCTTTCGTAAAAGTCGGTGAACGCCAAACTGACAAGCGAGCTCAGGGTTCCGAAATTCAACTCTACACTCTACTATTACTGAATAACCCCTACCATATAGTAAGTGATCGTCTGCGTCGTCAACGCGTGGGCGGTGCGGCGACAGCTTGGTGGTATGCAGGTACGCCGCCTCTGTCCCCGCAAACCCCCTCGCCCTCAAGCCATCAGCAAGCTGTAGCGCGAAAACTAAGCAGTTTAGCGAAAAATTTGTAGAGACCTTTTTTGATGGCCCAAAAATTAGAACAATTTACGTATAAAAAAATCCCAGATATCCTCAGCCGTTTCAGCGAAAAAGAGGTTTTCGGGTTTTTAGCTGTTTTACAAAAAACTGCTGGTTTCCGGAAAACCAAATTCATACAACAATATCCGCAATCCTTTATTACACCATTTCGCCAGCGGAAATAACTTTGTGGCTATGTTATCACTTTTGTCTCAGTTTCAGCTATTTAACTGGACTATAAGTCATAACTGATAACCTATGTCAATATTAGATTTTTTCAATAAGGTGTCGCGCAAAGGCAGATGCAGGATTAATCAGGACATTTGCAGAATGGAAATCATCATATATACTGCAATGTTGCCAAACTGAAGAAATATATGAAAATTAACACGTAGCAGCTCTCCTTTTGATCTAGAATTCGATCCCCTTTGACATAGATATAATGTAGGGTTAATATTCAATAAAAACCTATTATATAGTAAAATATTTCAGAACTTTTATGTTTGCGCTCATTTCCAGGCCCATTTCTTTCATCTACACCCAAAAACATAGGTCTAAAATCATTTTTTCATCAAAAACGGCTGGTGTAGTTAAGCTAGAGAATTATCAAAAAAGATCTATTTCTAATACTACAGCTGTAACTTACAGCCTCATTAAAACTTGAGCCCTTAAAAGCTAAATAAACTTGATCAACGTTACCATTTTTATTTCTTGTTTCCCATCGGATGTGACGCATCCTGCCCACTTTTTTCCTTGCTTGGTCTAATTTCTCAAGCTGTACTTTAGTGCTGGACCTCTCTCTGGTGCTGAAATCCATGTCTAATGGGAGATCATAAGACTCAAAATCATCTTCTTCATCATCACTGTCTTCGGGGTCTGGGTATAGCTCCATATTGCTTAGATGAAACTTTATATCTTTCCCTTCTCCTGCCATAACCAATTCGCACATACCTGATGATATAAGACAAATTCCTAAATATCGGGAGTTGCAACGAGTGCGAAATAAGTATTTACCTGTATCGTCAGTTGAAATAAAGGAATTTCGTATATGGGATAACAACCAGTATTTGTTGTCGTACAGAGCCATTATGGTGTCTTGACTTTCGTTAATAATAAATTGATTGATAAATTTGTTTATTTCCTTGCTTTTCGGCCAATTTATTTTTGTTTACTAGCTTTTAAGCACAAAACATATACACTGAGGAATCACAGGACCATCACCTGCCAGTGGCTATTATGTACACAAATAACTGTCTTTAGGCACAGCTGTAGGCACAAAACACATAAGACTGAGGTGTCAATCATAGAACATGTTGGCCTCAAGCAATGGAGCAATCACCAGTACGGTATAACATCTGTGGCACAGAGTACAGAGGCGACACTGTCAAAAATCAGGTACGATCAACCGGATCAACGCCAACTTAAGTCCTATGCGTTTGGTGGGATTTGTGTTACTGTGACATTAAGATTTAGGGGTTATCAAAAACATTGAGTTTTATCAATACTATATATAAATATACAGGGTGACTTCGAAGTTGAGTCATTTATTTTAACAGTGAGTAGATCTGATCAAAAGAAATGTTTTTTTCCTTTACCATTTTCCTGGTAAAATTAAAGTAACAAAGTTATAGCCCTTTGGAAGTTTGAGTACCGCCCTGTCTCAATAACAATATTATGTGGTCGTGTTCGGCGACAATGGATATAATCCGCCGTATCGGTTCATCGCATCGGAAACAAAAAAGCGAAAGAATTTGGAACGATGTTTTTACAGGTATCTCATTCATTTGTATACAGTTAGTGTCAGTGAATGGTGGTATGTGTTGCGTGGCTCAAACGAAATAAAAAATGGCACATGTTTATGCGGATCGGTTTCCCAATCGAGTGCAACCAACCCCTCGTGCCTTTGTTAATGTAGTACAACGGGCTTGTGAATCAGGTGACTTAAGACCTCACAGGGGACCTCACGATCAAATACAGGTCCGCACTGAAATACTTGTCGGGAGGATACTTTATAAAACAAGGTAAACATTTTTTTTTATTTTTTTTTTATTTTTACACACATATTTTGGTTTATCTTCCTTCTACAATCATTATCTGAAAATTAATGACTCAACTTCAAAGTCACCCTGTATAAATAGCTTTTCAAGAAATAATAATAATTATCTCGCCAAAATGCATGTGGTTAAATGAACACAAATAAATTTCCTGAATATGTTGTTTGACATATGACATTCGTGACGTTTTGCTAACAACCCATAGGAAAAGATCATCTGGACGCAAATGAACATAAGCGGGAAATGTGGTAAGCAGTTGAGACGACGAAGATCAACGAGACCGACAGCAGGTGTCGCATCTGTATAATCTGTGTCTGTTCTGTGGTGTAACAGCAAACGAAACGTATAAATGAGCTCTCTTAAACCGGTCCCACATGATGTGGCGAATGCCTTACAACGTTGGATACATGGCCATTCGCCACAAGGACTGGTGCGTGAAATGGAAAATCCGCATCAACGTCCAGAAGACGCAGGCAATCTTCATTCAACGAAGAAGGATTGCAAGACCTCGCGATGCATCCATCTTCGACGAAGATATCCAGTGGAGCGACAAAGTCAAATATCTGGGGATCGTATTTGACAAGTCCCTCACCTGGAAAGCCCACATAGAAGCTGTCATCGCAAAGACCAGAGCAGCCATGGCTCAACTCTACCCATTACTGGGTAGACACAGCCGGATGGCGCTAGCGACCAAGCTACGGCTGATCAAGGCCATCGCCAGACCTCAGCTCGCTTACGCCTCCGCGGTCTGGGGGTACGCTGCCCCCAGCTACCGCAAGCGACTTGCTGCTCTAGAGATGAAGCTACTCCGGATCGCCACCAGTGCACCATCTTACATAAGAAACTCAACCTTGCGTAGAGACCTGCATTGGGACACCATCCACGAGTACATGAGGAAAAAAGCGGAGAAGACCTTCGAGAAAGCTCAGGACCACCCGAACGAGCAGCTACGATTCCTCGTGGACTACGATCCGGACGAGAGGCCTCGCAACCGCAGAACCAGGTACCCCAGACCAAGGTCCCAGTTGGCTAACTGGAACCTTGACTAGGAGACTAGGAGAACTCGCGGTTGCTCCCCCCCCCACGGCGTGGATGCAGGACCAGGAACCACCGGGACCAGGACCAACCAGGACCAGGACCCGCCACGACCAGGACCCACCAGGACCAGGACCCTTCAGGACCAGGACCAGGAACAACATATTGGTAAGAGGACTTGAAACTCTTGATTTTTCGAAAACAAGAGTTTCAAGAGAAACTAGCAGACCCTCTATAGATGATCGCTTAACGACATCGATAGAATGTGCGAGGTAAAGGGAACCAACCCGGCGTTCCCAGAGACTGAAACACATGAGGAGACGTTGTAGCAGACCGCAGGTCACGCACAACACATGGCCTACCGAGACGCTGATGAGTCGGGCCACGCGGAGGTTTAGGGTTTAGTGGGTATTAGGTGATCTCCTCAAGACCCTGGAGTCCCACACACGCCGTAGCTCGGGCTATGGTATGGTGCGTAAATGCATTCCCCCTCACCAAAAAAAAAAAAAAAAAAAAACATTCGCCACATCGTGTGGGAGAGCGCATGTGGGCGACACACTTGCCAATTGTGGGGTGACCAACGTTGTATACAACGTTGGAAGCATCGTGTGGGACCCGCATGAACTGCACTACCACCATTTTAATTTTTAATAGCACATTAGCCATTCTGGAGCAGGGGGATATTTGCTCTAGTATCGCCTATATTAGAACTTGCTGATAAAATACGTAAGTCTAGTCATGCTTCCTGATGTCTAGCTCTTTGATATGGTTTTTTTTCCTTCCCGGAAGCCGATCAACTTAGGTCCCCGATGGTACTGCATCTTTTTAAGCATATTGTAGCTTGTTCCTCCACCCCAGTAGTCCAGTGCCCTTTACGAGTTGGTATAGTTCCCCTGCCAGTACTGTTCCAAACTCTCGCGGTTCTAGTTGTTGTTTCCCGGAGAGTTGGTGTCTTGTGACCCAGTGCTGGAATGGTATACAAAATGGCGTCGCTTCAGCAAAACGTTCATTTAATAATAATAATAATCCCTACGGCTATAAAAAAAATAATAATATTAATATCTATAATAATAATAATAATAATAATAATAATAATAACGGTAACGGTAACGGTGACGATAACGATGACGGTAACGATGACGATAACGATAACCATAATAATAATAGTAATAATAATATTAATAATAATAATGGGACAGGTTATATGTAAAGAGGCGCTATGCAGGACGCGGAATGGTAGAAATTGAAGCTCTATATGAAACATCTATGGTTGGTCTCGGAGAATATATAACCCAAGGGAAGGACAAACTATCAAAAATAGTGAAACAATGGGACAATGGCCTTTGCAAATACTCCATCCAGAAAGAGATGAAGAAGATTATATCGGAACGTCAAGGAGGCGGAGAATCCAACAGAAACCCGAACGACAAGATCAAGAACGTCGCTGAAAGTGGCAGACTAGCAAAAGTAGCCTCGAAACCATTGCACGGACAGTTCTTCCGACAACTCGAGAGAACAGAGGTAGATAAACGTGAAAGTGTCAATTGGTTAAGAAGCTCTACGCTGAAAGCGGAAACAGAAGCTCTGATAGTATCTGCACAAGATCAAGCATTAAGTACAAGGTACCACCAAAAGTATATACTAAAACAAAGTATAGACAGTAAATGCAGAATATGCGGGCAGTCCGACGAACACATCAGCCATATAGTAGCAGGTTGCCAAGTACTACCCCCTTTAGAGTATACCGCTAGACATAACAATCTAGCTAGTTACGTTCACTGGAAAATATGTGACTCGTTTGGTATCCCAGTTACAGATAACTATTATCAGCATGAAATCCAGAGTGTCACCAACATCAAGAATGGCCCCACTGATGTATGTATTAAGTGGGATGTGCCGGTAATAACGGATCGGACAATAAAAGCAAACCGACCTGACATTAAAATTCATAACAGAAAGGAGAAAACATGTCAACTAATTGATATAGCGGTTCCCGACGATTCCAATGTAAAATCGAAAGAAAATGAAAAGATATCTACTAAGTACAGAGATCTCCAGATAGAAATACAGAGGATGTGGCATGTGAAAGCTTGGATAACTCCTGTCGTTGTCGGTGCATTAGGAACTATCACCAAAACCTTCCACGGAAATTGTGACTCAATACCCGGTAAACCAGCACTCTACCAAATTCAAAAAACAGCGCATATACTAAGTAAAGGTGCTTGGATAGTCTCTTTGATACCTGGTTTATATCTGGTCTATCCTTTATTACCAGACAGATATGTCTGTGGAAGAAAAGGATAATAATAATGATAATAATAATAATAATAATAATAATAATAACCATCTATGAAGAAGTGGAATACCGAATTACAGCTGCATCACGCTGAAGGGTGTATAAAAACTGATAAAATAAGAATCCGCAGAGCGATATTCCAAGGAGACTCCTTGTCACCGCTGCTATTCTGCATCTCCCTGGTTCCACTGACTAACGCTCTGAATTCTGGAAAACTTGGATACGAGGTCAGGCAGGGTTCCTAATAAGGCACCTATTATATATGGATGACCTCAAGTTATTCGCATCCAGCAACAAGCAGCTAGATAGAGAGCTAGACATTGTGAAGCGGTTTAGTGAGGGCATATGCATGCAGTTTGCCCTGGAAAAATGTAAAAGGATCACGATTACCAGAGAAAAGATTTCAATGAATGTAAACCAAATAACTGAAAATATTGCAGGATTTGACTACCTTGATCCAAGTGAAACCTATAAATATTTTGGCGTTCATGAAAGTGACGAGGTACATCATGAATCTATGAAAGAAAATGTGAAGAAGGAATACTATGGTCGGTTAAGGCGAATCTTGAAAACAGAACTGAGCGCCGAAAATAAAATAAAGGCAGTCAACAGTCTTGCTGTACCGGTAATGCAGTATAGCTTTGGAATATTGAACTGGAGCGGATCAGACATTGAAAAAATAGATAGAAAAACCAGGAAACTGTTAACCATCTATAAGTTTCATCACTCCAAAGCTGACAAAGACCGACTCTATATTTCAAGGCGCGATGGTGGCAGAGGTTTAATTGAACTCTGCAGTGCCTACAGGATGACAATTGCCGGCCTTTATGAGTATATACTCCATTCCAACGACAAGTTCATCAAGTTAGTGCTATTGCATGAGCAACAAAAGGCTAAATACTCCATTACAAAGATCGGGGAAGCCATGAAAAGACAATATGCATACCAATTGAACGAAGATCAGTCAGCGGACAACTTGAAACTCAGAGTAAAGGAGGCCATGCGAACAGAAAAAGTCAACGCCCTAAAATCGAAACCACTTCATGGACAGT